GACAGGTCCTTATCTCCTTACAGCGTCTGTGAGCATGGCCTTCCCTGGAGATCTCCAGGTGTCACTGCATGAAGTTCTCAGTACAGGGACCAAGGATCCAAAGGCTACACTCTGCTCCTGCTCTTGGTAGCACTGAGATCCCTCCTTTCTTTTATCTCAAGATAAAAGATGATAGAGGTTATACCGCAGGGAAACTCCCTGGACATCTGTTCAGGACCATGACATCAATAAAAATGTGTTGCTTGATAATTTATAAATTATTATTATTTTGTCATATCTTACACTGTCCATTGTCGCCCTTCACCCACTTCTCCGCTGTCCGTCCCCCAGGGAGGAGGTTATATGTAGATCCTTGTAATCCGTTTCCCCTTTCTACCCCACCTTCCCTCCACCCTCCCAGTATCGCCACTCTCAGCCACTATCCTGGATTCCCTGTGTTTCCAGTTCCTATCTGTACCAGTGTACATCCTCCGGTCCAGCCAGATTTGTAAGGTAGAATTGGGATCATGATGGGGGATGGGTGGGAGGAAGCATTCAAGAACTAGAGGAAAATTTTATGTTTCATCATTGCTACACTGCATCTTGACTGGATCATCTCCATGGGGGAGGGGCAGCGGGGAGGGAAAGGCAAAAATGAGGAGCTGATACCAAGGCCTCAAGTAGAGAGCAAATATTTTGAGAATGATGAGGGAAACAAATGTACAAAAATGCTTGACACAATGGATGGATGGATGCATTGTGATAAGAGTTGTAAGAGCCCCCAATAAAATGATTTAAAAAAAGAGAGAATGTTTTGCTAAAATCTAAGAATACAGTGACTATCTAATCCAGAATAAGCCGATCTTTAATGTTGAAATCATTTACCCCGTTCTATCTATGAAGTTTTGAGATTTTACTTATTTATCTATTTTTCAGAACGATTTTATAGGAACTAGTACAGCTATATCATTCCATAGCTCAGTCACATCAAGCAGTACGATACAATTGCTACCACAATCCGTTTCCAACATTTGCTTCCTCCTTGAACTCCTTGATACCAGCTCCCCTTTACAAACTCCCCTCCCACCCTGGACCCCACCCACCCCCCCATGAACCCTTATTCTACTTTTTGTGTCTATAGGTTCATCAATCCTGGGTTTCATATGCTGAAAAACAGAAGCAAAACCACAATAAATGTCTGAATCAACTCAGGCAAATGAAACATAAATAACTAAATCAGGACCAAGGAATTCTAGAAGAAAACATATTGAAGGGTCCTTAGATATCTTATTTCTCCTTATTTCATGAACACAAAAAGGGAAGAAACTGTAAATTATGTCATTAGGTTCAAATTTAGTTTGTCTTTTTTTCCCAATGTCTTGGCTGAGTGATATTTCCTCAGCGGTTGAGTTTAGAATGTCACAGTATTAACTGATGGTGAAGATTGCCTGGTATGCCAGTTATAAATTATAACAGCAAAGTTGCTTTTCTCGGTGCTTTCAATGCTGTTTTTATAATTTCATTTAATGTTGCAAAAGAGGCTTGAAGGTAAACAAGGGGCCATCAAGCTCAGAAGCAACAAAGCCCACATGGAAGAAGCACACCAGCCTGTGCGATCACGAGGTGTTGAAGG